AGGGAAGGTCCTGGACACACGGGGGGCTCTGTCCCCATAGAGACCCCACCAGACCCACCTGGACTCTAGAAGGGAAGGTCCTGGACACACGGGGGCTCTGTCCCCATAGAGACTCCACCAGACCTACCTAGACTCTAGAAGGGAAGCTCCTGGACACATGCGGGCTCTGTCCTCATAGACACTCCAGGCCAGACCCCTGTACTCTAGAAGGTAAGCTCCTGGACACTCGGGGGCTCTGTTCCCATAGTCACCGCAGGCCAGGCTATGCTCCCTCCCACTCTCCACTGCAGAACCAGTGCTTCAGCACCCAGTTGTCCTGTGAGTGCCCAACTCCCACACACATTGCTGTGCTCTGTACAGGAGGAAAGGCCCACCCAGGAATTGAACTGGACAGTGGCCCTCCCCAACACGGGACAGTCATGGTGGCCATGACCCACTGGCAGCTCAGCACCTCTGTTTCTTGGCTCTTCCTGGGTCTCTGTGCTCCCTGCAGTATTGGCTTGTCCTCTGTTCACGTCCCACACTCACCCTGGGCCTTCATTGCACTTTTTCTGAGTGGGATGTTCAGAATTTGGCAGCTGGTCCCATTCTCCTCGACCTTCCTGGGAGAGCAGCTCAGTTGCTTCTGGGGCCCCTGCTGCTCTCCCAGGTCTCGAGACCTGCTGCCGCCTCTGGTCCCCACCTCTCTGGTATCACCGTTCTGTCCTGGGCAGCACGGTTAGTCATAGAGGTGGACAGTTCCTGAGCAGGTGTTTTCTTGGGGGTTTTCACAGAAATAGGAAATAAGGGGGAAACGCAGTGAGTGCATTTCACATATGCACTGTTACTTAATCTTGAAAAGTGGAAACTTTCCAGACCTAAGATTTGGAGATGCCAAATCCCACAGGACTCTACTCAGCCCTGGCACTACGGGTAAAGTTGCCTTTGAGAAACTGAGACGTGTTCACACTGACTTAGAAATTCATTTAGTGAGATCTAGGAAAGTGTTTAAGCAAAAACTCTTGGCTACTTCTTTATTCTTGCTTGGTTGTCTGAGAAACCAGTTTCCGTGTTCTCTCCCTGTGTTTACCTCTGTGAGACCTCCTTCCTCCCAAAGCTCTCCTCTGTCACATGTGTCTGGTGGCGTCCTTCTGTGGCTTCCCACATGCCTTTTCCTGTCGGTGTGACTCGTGCACCTCACACGCCCTGGTGCTGTCCGCACTGCACCTGAGTGTTGACTGGCAGGTCTCTGTCACCCGAGAACTGATCTATTAAAGATAGAAAGAGAGAGCCTGACTGGCCTTGAATGTTTACCTAGTGTCAACTTTGTTCTAAACTCTCATTTAACTTTTCCTCTCCTGCTTCTGTTAGACTTTGCTGATGGCTGGAGTTGAGCCATTTCAGGGGGAAAAAGTTAATTGAATCAAATGCTGCTTTTTCTGTTTAGCTCCAAAACCTTGGAATTAATCCAGCCAACATTGGATTCAGCACACTGAGCATGGAATTGGACAAGTTCGTATGTGTCCGGGAGAAGGTTGGTGAGCAGACACAGGTGGTGATCATCGACCTGGGCAACCCAACGGCACCGCTTAGACGGCCCATCTCTGCTGAGAGTGCCATCATGAACCCAGCCTCGAAGGTGATAGCTCTTAAAGGTAATCCCGATCGGTCGTCAGAGAGGAATTTTACTTTACTTTGGCTGTTTTGTTACTTTAAATACTAGACAGGTGTCATCAATAGCATTCAAGTCAATTCTAAAAGTTTTGGCAAATCTATGTTTAGTGTATTTTTTTTTTTTTTGGAGACAGAGTCTCTCTCTGTCACCCTGGGTACAGTGCTGTGGGATCATAGCTCATAGGAACTCAAACTCTTGGGCTCAAGTGATCCTCCTGCCTCAGTCTCATGAGTAGCTGAGACTACAGGCGCCTGCCACAACGCCCGGCTAGTTTTTCTACTTGTAGTAGAGATGAGGTCTCACTCTTGCTCAGGCTGGTCTCGAACTCCTGAGCTCAGGAGATCCATCCACCTAGGCCTCTCAGAGTGCTGGGATTACAGGTATGAGCCACCGTGCTGGGCCTTGTTTAGTGTATCCTAGTAACATGCCCCTGAACACCAGAGTTTCTCTGTAACAGAACTCATAGTGCCAGACAGACACACCAAGAAGAAGCAGTTCTCTGTCCTCATGTGTGACAGCACTGTGTGTACATGTCCCATGGAGGTCTGTGCGGCCCCCGTGCCCAAGGGCCTGCTGTGGTGGTTTCCCTGCCATCCTGGGACACAGTGACAGGAGATCTGACAATAGAATGTCACTTCTCTGAACTCAGGGAACCTCAGGTACTTGAAACCTTCTAGTTACCTTGAGAAATATAGAAGAATCTTTTCCTGTTGTCTTGATTTGGAAAACGAAAAGATTATGTACATAATAGATTTGTTGATGTTTTATGTGAAAAACACTATTACATTGAAAAGTGAAAACTATTTTTATACCTAAAAATCTGTGAAAGCCTAATACTAGCTTTGCCTAGGCTTCTGTTTTGTTACAGAGATAGTGTCTGCTTTGTCATTTCAATAGCGAGAAAGATAGCTGGAAGTTAAGACCTTTCTATTTAAAAATAAACAACTGACATTCTTTTATTTAAAAGGATCTTTGGTCCAGGCACAGTTGCTCACACCTGTAATCCTAACACTCTGGAAGGCTGAGGCAGGTGGATCGCCTCAGCTCAGGAGTTCCGGACCAGCCTGAGCAAAAGCGAGACCTCGTCTCTAAAAAAAAAAAAAATACTTAGGTGTTATGGCAGGTGAGTGTAGTCTCAGCTATTCGAGAAGCTGAAGCAAGAGTTTCACTTGAGCCCAAAACTTTGAGGTTGCTGTGAGCATTCTTTCTACCCAGGGCACACAGAGTGAGACTCCGTCTCAACAACAACAAAAAGAAAGTGGGGGTAACATTATGATTTGGGAATAGGCATAAAGAAGTAGCAGTCACTCATTCTAGGGGTGTTGGAATTTTGTGGGTTGCACAGGAACCTTGCTTGGTCTGTGCTTAGACAAACGTTGAACAGCTCTGTGGTCTCCCCGTGTAGCAGCCACTGTGGCTATGAGTGCCTGGCCAGCGTCCAGATGGTAGGATGTTCCTTTTGTTTTTATTTCTGTTTTTTGGGTTTTTTTAGAGACAGAGTCTCACTTTTTTGCCCTCAGTAGAGTGCTGTGGCATCACAGCTCACAGCAACCTCCAACTCCTGGGCTTAAGCAATTCTCTTGCATCAGCCTCCTGAGTAGCTAGGACTATAGGCACCCACCACAACGCCCAGCTATTTTTGTTGTTGTTGCAGTTTGGCTGGGGCTGGGTTCAAACCTGCCACCCTTGGTATATGGGGCCGGTGCCCTACTCACCGAGCCACATACGCCGCCCTGTGTTTTTTTGTTTGTTTGAGTTTATGTTTTCCTTTTCTTTCTCAATGTTCATATGATTCACTGCAACTATCACAGTGTTGCTTGCTGTTTTCTTTTGTGTGGAGAAATTTGAGGATCTGGAACCAAAGAGATAGGATTTTAAAGTTTTATCCTCCTAAGAAGCGTGCTTACCCAAGTCACTGTCAGACTGCCCTGCTGATGGACTTGTAATGAATTCTCATAAACCCGAGCAATGGGGGGTGGCACAGTCCCTCAGCTGCTGTCCCTTAAATAGAGCACTGGGGGCTTAACTGAGTGATTGGAAGACTGATATTTCTTGTACATCCCTCAAACAGGAGTGGTTTTTATTTTTATTTATTTTATTTTTTGAGACAGGGTCTCACTATGTCACCCTCAATAGAGTGCTGTGGCATCATAGCTCACAGCAACCTCAAACTCTTGGGCTTAAATGACTCTCTTGCCTCAGCCTCCCAAGTAGCTGGGACTACAGGCGCCTGCCACAATGCCCGGCTATTTTTTTGTTGCAGTTGTCATTGTTGTTTAGCTGGCTTGGGCTGGGTTCCAACCCTTGGTGCATGTGGCCAGCCCATAACCATTGTGCTATGGGTGCTGAGCCAAGCAGAAGTAGTTTTTATAAAGAGTTATAAAAGCAAAGCAGATAGATATAGGACAAAGATTTGTATGTCCCTTTAAGAAAAGGTTTGTAGACACCTTGCATTACTGGCCCAAGTATGATGTTCCCAATTTTTTTAGGAAACGTTGCCGTTTGAGTATGTGTATTTCTTTTTACAAACTTTTCCCTTTTCTCCTTGCTTTTCAGTAGCGGATTGAGCACAGGCTACCATAGGATCAGAGCAGCTGAGCTCAGGCGAGGAGGAGAGACGAGGTGGTGGCCCCCTCGGCTACTTAAACCTGACTTTAGGTGGTTTCCAAAGGAGGTTGGGCCTTTCTTTTTCTTTTTTTTTTGAGGCTGTTCTGAGGATAACATGAAAAATTTTCAAGCTAGAGGAAATTTCTTCTGTGATCCAAGGCTATTTGAAGTTAAAAGATACCCCCATCCTACAGTGCACTTAATCTAATCATCTTTTCTTTTTTGACTGTATGGCTTGGGCATCATTTGCATTAATATTCGCCCCTTCTCACTGTATGACATGGTGATTTTTAGTGAATTTGTAGAGTTGTGGAACCATTGCCATGAGCTAGTTTTAGGGCGTGTCCAGCACCCGAGAAACTGCCCTCAGGCCTCTTCATAGTTGTGTCCTACTTCCAGCTCTAGGCAGCTGACCATCTGCTTGCTTTCTATAGAGATTTGTTTTCTCTGGACATTTCAAATGAAGGGAGTCACGCACTGTGCCGTCTTTCCCATCTGGCACCTTCGCATGGTTCTCTGAGGCCACCCACGTCACAGCCTGTGCCAGTAGAGTGGGGTTCCCTTTACAGATATGCTGCGTCTTGTCTCTCCTTTCACCAGCTGACGGGTGTTTTGATCATTTCTGGTTCTTGGCTATTAAGAATATTATTGCTGGGCAGCTCCTGTGGCTCAGGGAGTAGGGCGCTGGCCCCTTATGCCGAGGGTGATGGGTTCATGCCCCGGCCCTGGCCAAACTGTGATGTAGTAATCCCAGATCTTTGGAAGATCACTTGAGGCCTGCTTGGTTCAAGGTTGCAGTGAGGTAAGATCGCACCACTGCACTCCAGCCTGGGCAACAGAACAGGACTCTGCTGGGCGTGGTGGCTCACGCCTGTAATCCCAGCACTCTGGGAGGCTGAGGCAGGAGGATCACTCTGGGAGGCTGAGGTCAGGAGTTCCAGACCAGCCTGAGCAAGAGCAAGAGCCGTCTCTACAGAAAAAATTAAAAATTAGCTAGCTGGGTGTGCTGGTGTGTGCCTATAGTCTCAGCTACTGGAGAGGCTGAGGCAGGATTGCTTGAGCCCAGGAGCTTGAGGCTGCTGCACTCTAGCCCAGGTGACAAAGTTAGAGTCTGTCTCAAAAATAACAGAGAGAGAGGGAGGGAAGAAGAGAAGCAGGAAAGATGGAAAGGCAGATACAGCTGCTCGTGGACATTGCCCACAAGTCTTTGTCTGGATATGTTTTCATTTCTTTGGCATGAAGTGGGATTGCTGGATCACATGGTAATTTGTTCAGCTTTTAAAGAAACTAGCAAACTGTTTTCCAAATTCTCATCAGCAGTGTATGAGGGTACGGATTTCACCACATCCATGTCAAAATTTACTCTTGGTTGGGTGGTGCCTGTGGCTCAAGGAGTAGGGCGCTGGCCCCATATGCCAAGGGTGGCGGGTTCAAACCCAGCCCTGGACAAAAAAATGCAAAAAAAATATGCATTCTCTGTTATATTTATTCTAGAGATTGTGTACTAGCACTCTGCAGTTTTAATTTGCATTTCTTGACTGCCTAATAATGTGTCTTTTAGACATTTATCTTTTTTGAAAAATTTCTTTTTATCTTTTGCCCATTTTTTTATTTTCTTTCATTTTTTTTGTCTTACCATTGGTTATTAGTTCTTTATGTATATTTTTATTTCAGAAAGTTCTTTGTATATTCTGATGTATGTCCTTTATCAGCTTGTTAACTATCCATTTAGAGCTATGTGATTTACAGATATTTTCTGCCAAGCTGTAGCTTGTCTTTTCATTTTCCTAATGATGTCTTCCCTTAGTCCATGCTGCTGTAACAAAATGCCTGAGACTAGGGAACTTAGAATGAACAGAAATTTGTTTCTCACAGATCTTGGAATTCTTGGGAAGTCCCAAGGTCAGGGTCCCAGATCTTGTGGCTGGGAAGTCCAAGGTCAGGGTCTGAGATTTTGGGGCAGGGAAGTCCAAGGTCAGGGTCCCAGCAGGCTCTGAATCTGTTGAGAGCACAGCCCCATTTCCTGGTGGAAGTCCTTTTCAAGTTAATTTTTGTAGATGGTGTGAGATGTGGGTGTAAGTCCTTCCCTTCATCTTTTTTGGGGCATGACAGGAGGTAGGGCACATCTGCTGAATTGTCCCAACACTATTTGTTGAAAAGACTATCTTTCCCCTTTGAGTCTTGGCACCTTCAGTGAAAATCATTAGACCATAAATTTAAAGAGTTACTTCTGACCTATCAATTCTGTTTCATGTGCTCAGACTCATGTCATTACTTGATTTCTTAATGCTATAACTTTGTAATAAATTTCAAATTAAATAGTGTTAGTACTGTAACTTTGTATTTTTGAAAATAGTTTCTGAAACTATTTAA